ACAGAAGCATTTTTCTAAATTTGAAAATGTTGCCCTGTATGTAAACAGTAACTGTTTTTTTAGCACAAAATTACTCTGCTGGGAGGCCTCCGAACATTGTCTAAACACTACATTACAGCAGACAAGTCTTTAGCAGAAAATGACCTTAGCAGAGGGACCTAAAAGTCCACACACTTTAGGGTCATTATAGACTATTTAAGACCAGTTTTGCACAAAGATATTTAAATTATCACGCAAAATTAAATGTTTTAAACAACATCTGTGAGCTCAACCCATCATAACCTAATATACCAAAAAAAAAGGACAAACGTATCTTTTCAACAGTGTTCTTCATAGGAATGATGCTTCCGCTTTTCACGTCAGTGTTCCTGTACATCTCATTCCTGACGATATCCAGTCAACATCTGCAACAGAGGACAAAGGGGGGGGGATTCAAGTTCCCTGAATTCTTGCACATATTTGAAGTGAAATTATGCAGTTCTGACTTGGATGTAGCTTCTCTAAGTTCCAGTCTCAGGTCTAGTGGAACAAAAGGGGGTAATTAACCTAATGAATCCTGGTTGAAAATATACCATCAAAAAACAAACTTATCTTGTTAATGATCCTCTCTGCAGCACCCAGTCAACATCTGCCAACACAGGGCAAGGGGAAGGAAAAACAAAACAAGACAAAAAAAATCAATTCAGCAACTATTACCATCAGTACCAAAATTCTACATCTGTTCCTTTATGTTCTGCTATTTAGCTTACAGAATTACATTTTTAAAGTAGTACTAAATATTATCTTAATCTTTAATAAGTATTGGATTGTCTCTTAGCCAAGCACATTTTCTTCTAAAGACCCTAAACGCGCAATCTCATCTGTGTGGCTACCACATTACTTCAGTGTATTAATAAATTTGCCACCCTAGCCCTGCATGTGTCGAATAAAATTACTCATTTTGCAAGGATAAAATTACGAGATTACATTGCTGGGAGGCCTCCCAAAACGTTTTCTAAATGCCACAGTAGGGCAGACAAGTCTTTAGTAGGAAATGATCTTGGCGGTGGGAGACAAGCCAGAACTAAAACTCTATACTCTTTAAAAAACATTAAAGTCTTTAAGACCAAATGGAGTCAATTGACACAATTGTTTAAATTATCACACAAAATTAAATGTTTTAAACAACATATGTGAGCTCAACACATCATAAACTAATATACTGAAAAAGGACAAACTTATCTTTTTAACGGTGTTCATCATAGGAAACCTGCTTCTGCTTTTCACGTCAGTCGTCCTGTACATCTCATCCCTGACGAGGTTCAGTCAACATCTGTAACAGAGGACGGGGGTGGGGGGAGGAATAAAGTTCCCTGAATGCTTGCACATATTTTACATTTAAAAAGTTAAATTTTGCAAACCTGACCTGGATGTACCTCATGGAGGTGGGGTTGGGGCAGGGGTCAAAGGGCGCTTATGCTTCTCAGTGGTCCTGTTTAGGAGTGTAGTGCTGAACCAGATTGAGTCCAAAACAGAAAACAAAACAAAAAAATCACTTTACAACAAAAACTGATAAAATTACAAATTTAAAAATCCATTTATGCAAAAACACTTAAAATCGCATTAAGTAACAAGATGACAAGACAAATGTAACAATTTTTCAACTTTAATTTTTAAGTCAGTAATAAAATAATCATAAGAACCACCTAAGACAATAAATTTTACTTCAATAGACCAAAACATACAATCATTTTGATGTCAAAATATTCTGCAAAGACCAACACATAAAAAAAAGCAAAAACACAGAACCACAAAGAAATCACAAATTAAGGCACTTTCCTTCCAATTAAAACAAAAAACAAAAACATTAGAACCACAAAGCTATTACTGACAATTCAACTTATGTGAAATACCATTATATAAAATTTAATAAAAATCAAGATTAACATAACCATCAGACCAAAAAACAAAGAAATCTCCAAGACATCAAGACTGTGTTGCCATCTGCCTCTGTAAGGGGTGGGGAATTGGGGGGCAACATAGATGTGAACATAGATTTCACTGAAGGAAAAGAGGGGAGGAATTATAAAGCAATACAAATATTATCCAAGATGACCTGGAGAATAACAAGTTGTAAAGTGTAATGAGTAAATTTGTACTTCACCACCTGTCCAGCACAGAAATGTTGTTGGCACTGTGAGGTTACTCTAAACTGGACAGACAGTTGAAGCTGAAAGTCATGACTCTTTTTGGTTTAACCTCTAATCCTAAAAACATCTGGAGGTCATACATGGGATGGACCAGCACTGAGGGAAAGCATACCTATGCCAAAGGTAATGAAGGGTGGAGAGAGAAGATATGAACAATCAAATTAAGACAAAACCTAGTAAAGAGCCACAAATAAGGTTTAACATAATCATAGACACATTTTTTTTACTTTACATCTAGTAAGACAAGAAAAAAAAAGAACCAGTCAAAACCAACCCAGGCACATAAGAACCAACAACAAAGATAAATAACAATATCCACTTATTTTTATGGAAGATCCCATTAGAAGAACAAAAATAATCAATATTATAAAAAGCCACAAATGTTTCATCATAAAAAACTAAATAAAAACAGATAAAATATCCAGCATTTGTTCAATTTAAAAACCATAAACCAAAGAAAACCAAAGTCACTCAAATTTATTAAAAAAAAGGAACTGAAGACCACAGCAAAAACACGCAAGAACCACAAACTAGATCAAAACAATATCCACTAATGTTTATTTAACTAATGTTAAATAAAAATGATTTTTTTAATGTAAAAACATTAATATCCACACAGTTTACATGTAGTCAACATTTTACACATTTTTAATGGCATTTCCACAACTCCAGCTCTGTGCACAACTAAAACAGAACCAAAACAGCTCAGGCCTATAAGGGGGACCTAACAGGAGTGGGGTCCCAAGCACAGGGCCTAACCTTCCTAACCCCCAGGCCAGCATAAAAACAAAATGACTGAGCCATTTGGAGGCCTTATATACTACACCTGGGTAAGGGGGCGGGGCTTGGGAGGGGCAAAGGGAGGAGCTAGGGGAGGCTAATTGAGATGTGTGTACAACCTTCACTACACTAAGAGAAAAGTAGAATCTTATTCTGGGATGCCTAAAATGACAATAAGAACTTACTTTACTATGACTTTCATTAAAAAAGAATTTAAATATAAAAG